AAATGGAGTCCATCAACGGTTCGGGACAACCTATGACCCTCAAACCAGTGGGCAAGCGGAAGTTTCTAACCGACAGATTAAAGCCATTCTTGAGAAGACGGTTGCAAAGAATAGGAAGGATTGGTCAATTAAACTAGATGATGCACTTTGGGTATATCGGATAGCTTTCAAAACCCCTATTGGCACAACCCCATATCGTTTAGTCTATGGGAAAGCGTGTCACCTTCTGGTCGAATTAGAACACCGCGCTCAATGGGCAATTAAAAAGATAAACTTCGATTTAGCAAGCGCGGGGGAGCAAAGAATGTTAGAACTTCACGAGTTGGAGGAACTTAGAATGGATGCATATGATAGTGCAAACCTCTACAAAACGCGATCCAAGGAGTGGCATGACCGGAAGATCGAGCAAAAAATGTTCAATGTAGGAGACAAGGTCCTTTTGTACAATTCCCGGATGAAACTCTTTCCCGGAAAGTTGATGTCAAGATGGAGAGGACCATTCACCGTTAAGGAGGTTTTTCCTTCCGGGGCGGTCGAACTCTATGATTCAAGTGGCTTGCAATATTTTACGGTGAATGGGCAGAGATTAAAGATATACTACGAAGGAGCCCATGTTGGTTTGATTGATGTGTTCCAATGCCGTTACTTGAGTTGAATGTGACCACGTCAAGCTATTGACGTTAAACTTAGCGCTTCCGGGAGGCAACCCGATCTTTTTGCTTTTTCTTAGAGTAGTTTTTTTTTTTCGTTTTTCTTCTTGTTTGATTTAGCTTCTAATCTTCTTTTTTTTTGTGTGTTTTTGTAGATAGTTGGCAGTAGGAAGGATGAGAGTGAATCGTGGCTTAGAGGAAGATGAAGGATAAAGCGTGCAGCAGTCAGCACAGCCGTGCCAGAAATGGCACAACCGTGCTAACAGGTCAAAAAGACTCCAAAGGGACTCAGCACGGACGTGCCAGAAATGGCACGGCTGTGCAACAACCTTCGAAACTCTACTGGCATAGCTGCACGGCCATGCCAGAAATGGCACGCCCGTGCCAAAACTTGAGAAAAAATTCAATTTCAAAGCCCAGCAGCACGGCCGTGCCAGAAATGGCACGGCCGTGCCAAAATCCTAAATTGCACGTCCGTGCCAGTAATGGCACGTCCGTGCCAGTAATGGCACGTCCGTGCCAGTAATGGCACGTCCGTGCCAGTAATGGCACGTCCGTGCCACTTATTGCGCAAAATATCACAAACCCCCTGCCATAGCAACACGGCCGTGCCAAATATGGCACAGCCGTGCAGCACGGGTAACCTCTTCAGAACGCGCTTCAATTAAAGCCTTCTTTTTCCTCTTATTTCCCCATTCTCCTTATCTCACCTCCAATATCTCCTACCCCCTTTCTCTCTAGCAAACCCTAAACCCCAAATCTCCTCCCCAAATTCGCACAACAAGCACTACACTACTCGTTCTTCTTCAAGATTTTCGCAATCTCAAGCATTGAAGCACACTTTGAGCTCGTGGAAGCAGCTACAGATCCCTACAATTCGTCACAAACAAAATTTCGTGGAGTATTGGGTGAATTCGTTCTTATACTCTCCTATTATCGTCGTTTTAGTTAATTTCCACTTGCTAATATTGCTAAATTGCTATTGCTATTTGCTTCATTGTTCAATACTTGCTTGCATTCGTGATTGTTGTGGTTTAGTTGTCTTGATAAAACTCATATATTGCATGCTAGGGTTTGATTGCCTATTGTTAGAGTAACTCCTATCGAATTGTTGCTTCGATTGTTTGTTTTTGCATTGCTAGGTTTAGGTATAATTTCATTGATTAAACTTATTTTACCTGGTAATTTTGTTTAATATCATTCAACCAAGCATGCCAAGAACCAAAAACCCAAGTAGGAGGCCGCGTCGGGACGAAGGGCCCTCAACCGTGGTTCCACCACCAGTGGATACCATGGGAATTAGTTTTGCAAACCCGTCCTTTATGGACAATTTTGTGAATTTGTCCTTTCGCCCGATTCGGCCTACTAAATTCTACGACCCTTTAGCCGCTAAAGCTTTAGGTATTGAGGACGATATGACTCAATTGTTCACGTACACTAACTTTGATACTTGGTTACATATGCATGCACTCACTTACAAGAGGCTTACCCTAGAGTTTTAGTCCACTTTGTATGTCCACCGGGATGAGAATAACTCCCCCCAGTACATGACCTTCCAGCTTATGAACTCCGGCACCATCACCATCACCATGACCGTAGCCCAAGTAAACACCGCCTTTAGATGGCACTCCGACTTGAAATACGGTCCTAAGGATGGCCATTCCAAACACTATGAACCCGGTCTATTTTGGCGTCAGATTACAGGGAAGCTAGATAGAGACCCCCGGAGAGATAAGGCAACCTCTATTGTCAACCCCGCCTTTAGATTAGCCCATAGAACCTTTTCTTCAACTATCTTCGCTAGGGGGGATAGTTCGGGGGTGGTGTCCATTAGGGAGCTTCAATTCCTATGGCACCTCACTAGGGGGGATGGGCGACTTGATATGGGGGCTTGGTTGCTAGACCACCTAGATGGTGTAGCTAAGGGGAGGGGTGCGATTACCATAGGGGGCAAGATCACCATCCTAGCTCAGTTTAATGGTATTGATTTTTCTGATTTGCAGGCTATTGCAGGGTCGACCAGGTTGGACATGCGCACTCTAAAAGCCATGCAATGGCTTGATGAGACCACCGTGCCTGACTGCTACCTATGGCTCGTAGCAGGAAAGCCATACGCTTATCTTCCCGATCCAGAGAGGACGGTGGTCTACAACATGGACAACTGGATCTTTGACCCAGATTTCATTTGGCATAAGGATGGTAATACTGAGTACGTTGACCGTGATTCTCAGCCTCAGCCTGGAGATGAGCAGGCCCATGAGGGCCAAGATGGTGGTGATGATGATGATGATGGTGACAGCCCAGATGAGGCCCAGCGGATCCCAACACAGGATTATGCCTCGATCCGCCAAGGTTTAGATGATTTGCGGAACGAGGTGGCGGGTTTAAGATTGACAAACTCGGATATGGTCGCCGCCTTCAACGCATTGAGGGAGAGTGTCGACAAAATGGCCACCCACCTGCCTCGTGACCCGGGCGCCCCCAGTTCCTGATCCGACCTTGCTTTCTTTACCCCTTTCCCCACCTTTGTAAGTCCTTGATGTGTAAGCATTGAGGATAATGTTTGATTCTAGCTTAGGGGGGGGGGTCTTACTTGAGTTTGTTGGGAGGGGTTTGGAATTTTGGTAGTCTAGTCTTTAATTGCTTTTTCTTATTACAAAAAAAAATAAAAAATAAAAAATAAATAAAAAAAGAGATTTACTGCTTTCTTAGGACTAATCTAAATTTGTTTGTTAGTATGTATCTTCTTTTTGCAGCTTAGGAACGTTTAAGAAGCGGCATGCCAGCAGAACCAGTTTATGGCCGCAAATTAAAGCTCCCGGGAGGCAAATTTGGTGAGATCTTTTCCTTTTTCTCTTTGTGTGCTTAGGATAGTTTAGTTTAGGAAGAAGTTGAATGGTTCGAGGATGTTTGATCGGTTCTAAGGAACCTAGGGTCGTTGATGTTGATATCAATTGATCACTTGTTTGTCGATTGGGATTATTATGTGATTTTCATGCCTCTTTATGAGCCATTTAGCTTGTTTAGATTACTTAGTTGTGTATATATATGTGCAATATAGGAAAAGCTTCTGTTATGAGGATGTGTAGTCTAGTTTATATGGTTTGCCTCATAGTCTTTTCCTATATTTTTGAATCGTGATAAACTTGCCTATTTGCAAAAACTTTTGGAATAATGCCCATATTTGGATTTGAAACGTGAATGAATGTGTGTGGAATGTCTATTTCTATTTAAGCCAGTGATGAATACACAGTTTGAGTCTATTGTTGATCAATGTAGATGAGTCTAGGCGAAGATAGTTGGTTAGAATGTTTGTTATCATGTGAAACTCTAAGCCATTGAATTGTGGTAAGATGGAGTCGCTTCCCTTTGTGGATTTGATCCCCTTGATTGGTAGTTGCTTTGTTTCCGAATCCCGTGAGGTTTTATTTGTTCTAGCCTTCATCATTCTTTTTGAGCGGCATATTTAGATCCTTGATTACGCATGTTTCGATCTTTGTGTTGACTTGTAGCTCCCGAGACCGACTTGACACTTTTAAAGGAGGAAGAGGGAACCTTTTTCATTTTTCTTATTTTTGTTCCTTTGGTTTTGTTACAAATTAATTTTCTTTTTACATCATCCTACTTACTAACCATGTTGAGCCTCTATCTCCATTCTTGGTTACCCATGTTACAAACCCGATGGTCGATGTTTGACCAACCCTTAGGTTGTGAAGCGTTTACCTTGCTAGGTTTGTTTGAGCCTATTGTTTATTAATCAAGAATTATGATCGATAGTTGGTTAGAGCAAGTTTGAAAGTGAGCTTAATTGTAAAGATGTAATATGAAAGTTTGTTTGAATAAAAAATTATAAAAAAAAGAAAAAAAAGGAGTAGTAAAAAAGAAAAAACAAAAGAAAAAAAGTCGTCCGAATTGTGAAAAAGGCGAGGACATTCAAACAAAAGTTTTAAAGTTTGAAAAAGGTCGTTTGAGTGTGTATATCATATAGAGTTGGTGATGTGTAAAAGTGTGAATCAATGTTTTCGTGTGGAATGTGAACTGCATCTCTTAAGCTTGGTTTTTGAGAGTCGTGATTCTTGCGCTTCATTTAGGATTTAACTCCACATTTTAAATTGTTTTCACCTACCTTACCCGTTGCCAATACATTACAACCTTTCTAATACCCTTAGACTTTAGTGGTGTTCGGTTTTCAAACGGTGGAGGGAGATACTTTTTAAACCTATGGAAAGATTATGCGTAATTGAGATGTCGGGATACCTTTATTATTTCCTCAAAAATATTACTTTCTCCGGTTCCTTCGAGGAATCACGAGGAGCTAATTAGGGTGGTGATTTAAAGCAAAAGGGGAGGACGTGGCTGTTTTGGCTGGGTTTAGAGGGAAGCATGATTCCTTTGTTCTCTATGCTTAGTCTAGGCCTTGTTCACATTTTGATCAATAATACTTTTCCCACCGGTTCCTAATAAACCGGTGCGAAATCATATTTTTCGCACCGGTTCAAACTGGTGCGAATTATGAAATATAAAAAAAAAATAATAATAAAAAAAAAAAAATCGTGCTGCTTTTCTTCTTCTTTCTTTCCATGTTCTGTACTTTTAATTTCCCTCTCGTTTTCGCCTTCGTTCTCTATCCAGAATCCCGAATTGCCTTAGCTTTCTCACTCCATTGAAGCAGCACCTCCGCCTTCTCACTCCACTGAAGCAGCACCTCCGCCTCCATTGAATCGTGCTCTATATTCTTCATTGAAGCCGAATCTGAGCTTTCTCACCTCCATTGAAGCTGCTCCTGGTTTGCTTCGATTTCGCTTCCTTTTGGTTTTGATTTTGTTTTTTTTTTAGCTGTTTTTGATTTTGATCTTCTTTGCAATTGATGAATTGTTGGTTGATTTTGTTGTTGTTGTTTTAGGGTTGTCGAATCTGGCTGTGTTATTCATGTGTTATTGGATTGATTTTTAATGGATTTGCTCGTGAATTTGTTCTATGTTTGAGTGATTTTTTCCAATTGATGTTAATTGGAAGAAATTAAGGGTTTTCTAATTTCTCGAGGCTGTTAATTGGAAGAAATTAAGGGTTTTCCAATTAAGGGTTAATTGGAAGAATGTCATGCAAGTCAATTTTGTCAGGTCTCTTTCAATTTATGTACATACATTATTGTTGTTAATATTAATTCGTGAACTCTTGTTATTGTATATGTTGAAAATTTTGAAATTTTTTTTATTCCATTGAGTTAAATTTAAAATTTATTTTGCGGAACTAAGTTAAATTCTTGCTATAGTGAATAGAATATTGGTGTTTTCTGTATTGGTTGATTTTTTTTTTCTAGGTCAATTTGATTCTTTAGAAGTGGGAAATTGGTGTACAACTTATGGTATGAAAACACAAAAAGATTGATTACTAATAGTCATTTCAACTGATGATACTTATTATAGTATAAGACAGTCAATTCTAATTCCATGAACAAATATCGCCACACCAAAATCAATTAGGGAAATATTGGAAAAGCGTGTCCCAATCACAATGACCACTATTGCAGGAACGAATGACATAGAAAGATTGTGTGTTGGTCAGGGAGTCTAAATCATACAATCATTTTTATGTTTTCTATTTGTAAATTATAAAACTAAGTGTAATTCTTTTGTTTCATCACAGCAGCAGGAACTCTAAGGGTCTTATTGTTCTAATGAAGACTACCGATAAGGGTAAGTCTGATCAATTTATCACTATTTTATTTTATTTTTTTGCCTGGTATTTTTACTAGTTTAGATTCTTCGAATTAAGCTAAGTAGTACTCTATATTATTGTATTACTCATATTTATAAAAGGGCTACATTTAGTGTTAGTTGGATGCTAAGTTAGTGGGATGCTTCTCATTGATTTGTTTTCCCTTTATGGCGGTCTTGTTACTAATTGAGCTTTTGACAATCTAAATGTTAGCTATAATGGTTGATGCTAAAGAAAACTTTAGCTGGGTTGGTAAATCTTGTTCCTTGAAAAGCATCCAGTGTCAAACATATATACGAAGTTGAATGTTGCCTGTTGAGCTCTTGGGAGCACTAATTGTCTAGGAGTGTTTATTTGTGTGCATTTACAATTTCGTTTCTATAAATCACTTTGACAGGTAAAACAGCAGCAACAGCAAGCACTAGGCAGGCACAACACCACCAGACAACAGCTAACAGCCAGCAGATAGCCAACAGGCTTTGCAAAAAAACAAAATACTCTGTATGTGAGAGACTGCAAATAACAAAATACTCCGTATGTGATAGTGTTTTTTAATGATAAAGGAGTGGTTGCTGCAGATGCAGATGGTACTGCTCCCACAACTTCAGACCTGGGACTCGATAATACTGCAGCAGAGCCTGTTAGAGAAATGGCACATGATGAATATCCTGAGTGGTTCCTCATTGAGATGGGAACTGTTGCAATCGATGCTGCTCAATTGACAAGCGAGCATCAATCAGCAAATAGGAGAGGTCAGAGGATGAAAACTACGATGAAGAGTGAGTTAGCCTTCTCTCATTGTTTTGTAAACTTAGTTGATTTGATATTCTTCTATCTGAATTAGATTAAACGTACATAAATTTGACGAGATTAGTGCCCTATCTACCTCTAGATAATTAAATTATGGAAGCTAGGGAAGGGTTGTTATTTATGTATACATCTGTAGTTTTTAATCTTTTCAATGTGATGTTGGCTTAGGCAATCAATGTTTCTTTGAGCTGATTATACTAAAACTTTTAAACAATCCAAATGAAGTTCTCTAAAAAACTTTGATGTTTACTTCTAACTTCTAAGTGCATTTAGATGAAGCTGATTGCACTTTTGCACTGTATCTCAATGGTCAGTTATGCCAGAAAAGCACAAACATCATGTTGGACACAACTGAGGTCAAGTGATAGCATTCATAGCAAGCTATTCACTTTAGTGTCTTTTGTCAGAAATCAATATACAAGTACTATTGATTCAGAATTTGGAGTCTAAGGGTAAATATTGTTATTACTTACTTTTTTTTCAACCGACATTTATTTTTCAATTTCTTGCTTGGTTTGTGTCAATGAAATGCCCGTATGTCTGTAATTACCTCAAAATTACCAGAGTCGTGTGTCTTGCTGGATAACTGTATTGAGTCCTTTTTTTCAGAAAACTTGATACAACTAATAGTAATCTTGAACAAATTTTGATTTTTTTAATTCGAATATATTCACAGATAATATTTGTAATCCTTGCACACTTTTTACTGTCTTTGTGAAGTAGTCTCGGATGCGTTATCCATTTTCACAAGTGCTTTTTCCTTCTGTTATCTCCCTTTTTTTGTTTCTTCTCAAGTTCCTTTGACTTATTACACCCGGCCCATTTTCTTGGTTTGTTTCTGATTCTTGTTTTCCACTTTCATCTTCCACTGTCAAGGAACAAATTAAAAAAAAAAACAAAAAAAAAACCTATTCCCTTTTCCTTTCTCAGACAACAGCTTAAGCACTTGTGAATTTATCCTAGGCTTCAATATGCCAAATCTTTTTTAAAAATGCGAAGGATATGATTTTATTACTGGTGGTACTAGGCTTGTTCCCCGCAGGCAGAATATATTGAGGTTTTCTCTGATCATAGGGTTATGTTTAAGATAATTATAGTAAGTAACCTTACCCCGACTACAAGGAGTATGTACAAAACTCTTCCTAGAATTGTTAAATGTTTAATCTTAGGATTTTATGTATAGGTTTGTTGTCTGCTGTTTGCTGCCTGCTGGTCTGCTGTTCTGCCTGCTGTCTGCTGTTGCGGTTGCGCTGCTGTGTTCAGTGCTGCTTTGTTGACAAGTTGCTAAATGTTTGTGCTGTTGTTGCACTGTTGCGCTGTTGGTCTGTTTGTTTTAACAGCTCGTGCTGGGTCTGGTGCTGGCTGCCTAGCCGTGGTGTAGCTTCTGGTTGCTGTTTTGCTTGTAGCTGCTGCTGGGGTTGCTGGTCATGGTGTGGCTGTGCTGTCTCATTCTCTGTTGCAGGCTTAGGGTCAGTGGGAGCTGCTGTAGTCTGCTGTTTTTTTTGTCTTAGTTTTTATTCTATTTATCAACGATGTAGTGCTCTTTAATGGATGTATGACACAAATATTGAAGAAAATATATGTGTTTTATGTATATTATGATTATATATAAGTATTTGTACAATTTCAGTGAAAAAAATGCAAAAAAATAATTTTTTTTTTCGGGGCACTTTTGGCATCGTTTTTGGAAAAGAATCAGTGCTAAAAGTTTTTTTAAAAATATTTTTGGAGACTTTTGGCACCGGTTCTAAGACAAAACCGGTGCGAAAAGTCTAGTTTTTGGCACCGGTTCTCACCTAGTACTAATGCGAAAAGTCATTTTTCGCACTGGTTTTGAACCGGTGCGAAATCTATGGGGTTTTAGCACCCCCCAAATACAACCCGGTTCAAAATCGGTGGGAAAGGGGGGGTTTGAACCAATGGGGAATTCGTTTTTTCGCCTAGTGTATGTTCTCAATCAGTTTATGGAAGTAATGCCCGTATTCTCATTTCAATGCTTACAAAGAGACATGTATATTGTCTTTGGGTAAAAATTTGTTGTGAAACAAACAGTTAGCTCCCACTCGAGCTACCTTAGCCCTAATTAAGCCACTTAGCTCCCACTGAGCCAATGAACTCCCACTGAGCTAAGAGCCCTAGACATATACTTCAAAAGACGTTAGAAACTATTTCTATCCATAACTGAATTTAGTATCCTTTCTTAGCTTCAACATTTTATTTAGTGTAACATTAGTCATTTGTGCAAATCCTTAGGTACTTTATAGGAAGGGATGTGATCCATCATCATACGAGTCATTTCCAAATGGCATCGAGGTTTCCGTGAAGACATACTATATTCTTTGTGGAGCTAATTATGGAATTCCAATTTCATAACCTTTATCTAATCTAATCTAATTATGAAATTCCAATTTCATATTCTTGGCTCAAGCAAACATCGCTAAATCTAATCTAGATGAATTGATATCTTGCCAAGTCGATTCTATACTTCACTGAACTTTTGAGCTACTCAAGATCTAGTTTGTTCACATTTGATGAATATAGGCATATTCATTCAAAATCTTTTGAAAATGTTGAAGTAATGGAATCCTCTTTAGTTTACGGAGTCAATTGTCTATACCAAGCACAATAGCTCCTTTCTTTGTCGATTTCAACAAGTAAGACTTGCTTGGCTTAGAACGATTCCGAATCGATTAATTATCAAGTGTCTATTTGATAGAGCCTTGAGTACGTTCTTGTCGATGTGACATTGCTAAAGATGTTTGGAACACAAATCATATCCATGACTTGAACCTTGTGACTTTTCATGTTAGAGAAATGTTTGTTTATAATCAAGCATTCTTGACTCATGGCATAAATAACCATGCCATTCAAATAAAACCAAGAACCATTGCTCTTTTACTTTGAATGTGAGTCTTTCAGTGTGTAAACGGATTGTTTGTTGATTATGGAGCATCATAACCATTTATTTGTTCCAGTCTTAGCTTTAAAAGGTCTTTAAACAAAGCAGATGACCTTACAACTGATGTAGCATTACATGCTTTATCCCAAGCTTGTAAGTCAATAACTTAGCTTAACTTCAATGGTTTTAGGTCACTTTAAAATTGGAACACCCAAGTAGTATTCGATACTTGTGAAGATAATGAGTTGCTAAGTTGAACTACAATAACATGAACTCTTAGGTAGAATTGGAATCTCGTATTCAATGTTCCTTGTTTCCTATATTTCTTATCATACATCATCTCATAACTTTTAAGAACCATTTCTTTAAGTGTTTTGACTTTTACACTTTGTTAGGCATAATTAAGCATCTAATGCGCCATAAAACAAAGTTCCATCTTTTCCTTCAATTCATACTTGAATTACTACATCAATGAGTCCTACTCATTAGTGTATGAAGTGAAAAGATATGTTGGTTGTCAACTATTGACAATTTGAGTTTTTCAACTCAATACTTCATGTTTATCAAACTACTTAGTATTTTGAATACATGATGTCCAACCGTCCTTTCGGACTAAGCCATAAAAGTTGTATTTTAGAATGCCTTTTCTTTCCATGAGAACCATTCTCAAAAGATTTCCTTACCAATCGTTGGAAACATTATAATTTCATTTAGAATACTACAAATATAAGTGCAAAAGTATAACCATTGATCAAGATAATAACATAATAAGTTTGAAATGTAAAGCATACATGCAAACTTTCAATCTTATTGAGCATTTTATCCACACATTTAAAATTTGTCCCAATTAGGCGAGAATAAAACGATTCCAAGATCCCAAAAATTAAAAAGAGATTAAGCATGCTTTGGCTTGTCTTAACACTTAATATTTTAAGGTAAGAAATCCAATTGTTAATAGCTCTAAGCTACTCTTGGTTCGATAAAACGTCGCATCTAATGCTTTCTTGACGATATAACTTTATTGCCACGACATATAAGGACTCCTTACTGATATCATTGAGTCTAACCAAAACTAACGTGTATGTGATGACTTGCTTTGGCAAGCGCACCAACATACCTTACTTCCCTAGGAAAAGTAGTAATGTCTAGCTTTGGCATAGCCCATTACTATTCTCATTAGTTTCGTAAGTGTCATTTTGGAATGGCAGATTTAACTCAATTTTCTTTGGGACATAAGGTTTCTATGTTGGTTGATTTAAGTGAACTAAACTAATCATTCAACAGTCGGAATCCTAATCACGCATCTAACATCGCAATTATATAAGCAAAATATATAAAGCATAATTAAAGATGCATTTGGCAACTAGCATGACCCCTTGAACTTGAGTCTTTAATTCTTCAAGGGCCTTCGAGACATCACCTTCAGTTATGCAACTACTAGACAAGCTAGGACTAATCTAAATAATTTAAGTACAAAAATACTTAACGACACGCAGTCCGTATTTAGATTTACAAATATACAAAACGGAACGCAGTCCGTATATACTATCCTAGTAAGGCCCCACTAATTGCCATTTTGTAAAACCTGCATTAGAATATCTATTCGATTCATCCATTTACTAATGTGAATGGCCCATGCATTTTACAAATAATTCAAGCAACAATTCAAAACGAGCATAAAACTAGTTACTAACTTAGGTGATTAATCCAATTAACGCGCCTAATTAAAACTAGTCAAAGTTGTTATCCGATTATGTGAATTAACGCAATAATAATAGCTCAAAACTATTAGTGAAGCTCCCACTAAGTTCCACATCCAACTTAATTAAAAATAATCCAATTAAAATTAATTAAACCGGTTAACCCAGAATTTTGCCAAAAAATCCTGCAAGTGCCGGGAAAAACTGAGGCCTAGCCTCGTTTTAATTCAAACGAGAAACCGCAAAATCACAAAATTAATATCCCCTTACGGCCGAGTGCATAGCATCCAAGCCACGGGCTGCCATGCGTGGGTGCTGCCCTGTACAGCCATTGTTGCGCCAAGCCACGTGCTAGCGGCTGACAGCATCGCTTGCGCGTTATGCTGACCCTAGCACCGTGCTTGCAACGCACGCAAGTGGTGGCCTCAAAGGCCATGCTGCTATGCGGCCTCGTGCTGCCTAGCAGCCACATACCGTACCACATGCAAGGGCCCTGCCGCACCAAAGCTCGCACACACCAACGCACAAGCACGTTGCGCATCCTCGACAGCCACATGCAGGTTGCGCAAGCAACCCAACTGGACGAGAGATAAATTAAGGCTTCATGCCTCGATTTGTGTGCTTGTGCCTCGGAATTTTATTATAATTTTTGTGTGACATAAAATTAATTCTAAATTATTTTTAAAATCAATATTGAGCAATATGAAAATAAAACAAATCCAATTGAATTAAATTCAATTTTAGGGCACAAACCAAAATTAATTCAAGAACCATTCTTTAAATTATTTTTTTGGCTCAACTTGATGCTACCAAATTGAGGGTTTTTCTCACAGTTAATTTAATCAACATAAATTAATAATGAGATTTGACAAAAGAAGTTGGAAAAATAAACACAATCATCCAATGAAAAATTTCTCCATCCCTAACTTGTGCAAATTTGTAAAATTTCAATTAAAAGTTTGAACATTTAAGACTTTAATCAACTCAAAAATGATTAATATCAAAAAATAGTTCATTATGGAATTTAGAGAGTTAAGATCTAACCAAATATACAATTAAAGATTGAATCTTTAATATTTTAGGGGCTTCAAAAATACATTTTCACCATAAACATTCATACTCCAAGCAATTAATTTGCAACATATGAAATTGCAAGTTTATGTGAAAATAAAAGCTAACCAAATTAAGCACCAACTATGACTTCATAAACATGTTTAATAAGTGTTATAATTGCAGAAGATTAATGGTATAATCAAACACATAATCCAACAATTGCATGCCATAATTAATTAAGGTTTAAGGATTTAAAAATTTCACAAAAAACCCCTCTAAAAACCCATCAAAAACCACTTTCTAGGTCGATTGCACCCAAATTCACTATTTTTGAGTTAAAATCGGAGTCCATAATCCAAAATCAGCATAAATACGAATTTAATTCAATTAAAAACCAGCTCCTAATCTAATTAGGAAGCAAAACAAGAAATTTAAATCCATATAAATCACCTTAATTAATTTTTAGTTGTAAAAATTAAATGCAAGAGGCTCTAATACCGCTATTGCATTTTGCAGTGTCCGACACCGTGCGGAAACAAAACCCAATAACCGAATCGCACGCATAATAATTACAACATAAATAAAAGCATGCAATATAAACATAAACATAAGAGAAGAGAGAGAGAAGAGAGAGAATGCTCACCCTCGTAGCATGCTTCGCTCAACCTCGAACTCGGACTTGAAAGCTTCAAGTTGCACAAGTGTGTAAATCTCCAACGGCTCACACCCTTGCTACCAAAACGCACCGGTCCCTACCCTAAAGCTTAGTCGTGGCTTAACCAAAACTAACTTAGAGTTATTAGAACAAAGGCTTTCTCTTCTTGGAGATCCCTTAAAGTTCACCAACTCAAATATCTTTCCCAAATGCCAAATGATTGGTATTTATAGGGAATCGAGCCCTTGAAATCCCATCATCTTTCAATGTGGGATAGTTGGTAAAATAGAAAAATAGA